TTGGTTTTTTTTCAATACCAGTTCCAGATACCAGTTTTTATCCAATACCACTGCATAGAAATTATCTATTTCAGGATCGAAAACGTCAAGTTTTTTCATCAATATCTTCTTCTCGATTTCCGCCCAAAGTGTAGAATGACTCCTCAACTGTGGAATCGTCTGAAACAATATTTGGTTCATTTTCTCCTTCTGAAGAATCTCCGATACATTCAATTTTCTTAGTTATTGAATTGTCAGCAGGTATTTACGACTTTCTTTTTTGGATAGATCTAGGATATAGAATTGAAACGCTGTATAAGCGATCGTTACTGATCCGTCCCTACCCCTCATTCAAAAGCCAGCATAATGATGATATTTTTATTATAATCATATTATTATTTTACAAAGTGACTTCCGCATATGGACTTTTCTCATCTATATCGTAGTTTTTACTCGAATAGTCGGTTGAATCCAATTCCAATCCAATCCAAAGCTAGCAGTAGCCGGAGTTGATGACAGCATGACGCGATGCGAAACGCTTGAATGGCGCAATCAAAATGGAGACGGAGGCATCACCTTGAACCATAGAACTGAATATAGTGACCTTGAACATAAACGGATGCGCGCGCAACAAACTGAGCCCAAACATTGCTCCACATTGCCCTTTCAGTGCTGTTGCAATACCCCGCATTGCCTAACAATGCCTCACAATACCTTGCAATGCCTATCAATACCCTGCAGTGCCCGACAATGCCTCACATTGCCCCGCAATGCCCCTACACTGCCTCGCATTTCCCCGCAATGCCCCTATGATGTACACCGGATTGTCCCATGTACTTACCCCTTGGTTATAGCACTGGAAATTTTTTGTCATCTGTTTTTTACTCGGTATTTTTGTATTGACACTTTGTTATACTGATAACTTTTAATCTCGCTATCATCAGTCATTTGATTTCGGTGACAGCTCGCTTGAAAACTAGTACCACCACTATTCGCGATAGAAAATAACACCTCGCCTCATCTGGCGGCAACAATTTGAACACTCCTGAGCGGTTTGTTTTGAAGGATTGACCAATAATCAGAAACGAAAAACAAATGTGAACCAATAGAAACAAAGTATGCAGACCCCTTCAGAGCTGTCAAAAACTTTACCCATGCACTTTTACTACACCTTCACCATACATGTCAGACCAGAGACTCGGAGAGCAAGCACTTCATTTGCCAATGAAAAAATAAAGCAGAGGATGTCGTAACAATTATTCAAAGTACACCAGGTCATTGTATTCAGTAGAGTATTCAGCTGGCTTCGTGCATGACTACGTTTTATTCAATGGAATATTTTGAATGCATCAGGCTAATCATCTGTTCTCGGTTCTCGGTTTGTTGTTTCTACTTTGCGTTACGTCTGCGTCTGCGATTATTACCTGTTCGCCGTTTCTACATCAGCGACTACGAAACACATGCATTCTGCTGATACCTACCTGTTGGTTGTTTATTCTCCCCGAATACGATTTCTCGAGACACCTCATTTCGAATAAACGAACAATCTGAACCTTTTGATACATGAGCATACGGAGACCTTATCTGGACAAAGTTTATAATAATATTGTTTCCGTTACAACAACAGTAATAATATTTCCTATATGCTAAAGATAATAATCATTAAACGTTTGTTAACATCCAAGATAAAATTCCTTTGATGAAGAAATCAGGTGTCTATAGAGTTTCTTGAGCCAAATAATTTTAATGCATAGTAAATTGCTCAAAGTGGTCAGCGAATCCCGAGGGGTAAGCCGCGGTGGAATTCTGGTTTACAAACAACTCGAATTCTTTGGAATTTCCTTGATTTTCTTGGAATTCCATGTTCCTCGATTTTTTTTGGAATTCCCTTGAATTCCTTAGGTGAATTTCGGTATATTCCTGGTCTACAAACAAATGTAATTCCTTGGAATTCCTCTGATTTCCTTGGATTGCCCTGGAATTTCTTGAAATTCCTTGAATTTCCTTGGATTTCATTCGAATTCCTTGGATGTCCTTGAAATTTCTCAAATTTCCCTGGAATCCCTGAGATATTCTTGGATTTCCTCGAAATTCCTTGGATTTCCTTGGAATTCCTTGGATTTCTTTGGAATTCCTTGGATTTCTTTGGAATTCCTTGGATTTATTTGGAATTCCATGAATTTATTTGGAATTCCTTGGAATTCCTTGGATATCCTTGGAATTCCATGGATTTGTTTATTCCCTGGAATTCCTTGGAGTCTCTTGGAATTTCTTGTGTGGAAAGCAGTATAATTCTGGTTTACGAACAACTGGAATTCCTTGGAATTCCTTGTGATATCGAAATTTGGTGTACAAAATTCTGACCGCGGTTTACCACTTAGCGACATTTTATCCTGATGAGAATTTCGGAACATTGGAGAATTATTGGGTTTATACTTCCTCCAATAATATTGGTGATTTCTCGGATGATTATAACTCTATAAGAGCTATTTGGTAACCGTTATTGTTTTGAACTTGAACCATTTCTTCCTCAATTTCTCTCATGAAAAAGTCTTCTATTATCTGCCAAAAAAATAATTCAGTCAATTTGTTAGAGAATGTTTTTCAATTTACTCCTTTGATCGTTTGACTACTACTTTAAACTGTGGTCCTTCACTCGGTCCTTCATATAAACTGATCGATAAAAACGAGGGATATTTTCAAATACATTTAGGTATTCATAGACATACCACATGTTTTAAAGATACATTTCGCAATAGCAAAAACACAATATCCGAGACAATATCCTTCAGTTTTTTCGACCAGCTTGATATAATTTTTCGACAGCCATTTACGGAAAGACATCTTTTCGTAAAAAAAGCGAAGTGAGAAAAATTCTCATAGCGTTAACTTTCATGTCTAGCCGTGTCTAGCTCGGTTTCTAGTGCCGAAAGTTAAATAAGTGACATTTTGTTATCGTCAATTGAAACTGAATTTCAAACAACTCAAGCAAGTGAGATTGAAACATAGACCCACTTGATTATACCCAAATGTATGAAGAGTGGGTGTCATCATCATTGGTCAGAATCTCTATCATAATGAAAGAAATCGGTAGCAGCGAAGGTAGCAGATATATAATTCGCGTATGGAGTAGGAAATTAGAATTAGTATATTACGTAATGAGCGTTGTAAGAAGCATAATTTGATTGTGATATAAACGGCGTTGTAGAGTAAGTATAGTTTTTCACTCGTTGAAAACATTTTTTGAAGCTCGTGAACGTTAAAATGTTCTCTCGTTTCATAGACTGCTCGATAGACTGTAACTGTCTTCCGAACTTTCGACACTCGTAAAACAATATTTCTTTTATGTCATGAATGTCGTTTTGCCAATGTTCACCTCATCCTTGTTACTAATGTTTCTGTTCATTGCCTAAGTTTAAATTCCATCATCTTACAGAATGAATATCTAAACTTTTGGCTGATGATGGACTCCAAGAGTCCGAAACAGGTGCTTCTAGATGATATTGTTAAATATCGTGCTTATCCATAAGGATTTGGTGGCACGATGCGCATGCGCAGTTGGAATGGAATGAATGTTTTTCTAATTTTGACATGTAGGTACCTAGTTTGACACTTTTCAAACCTGACGGAAGTTTTGAAACGTCTTACTTTTGGCATCCAGTTGCGATAAGTGAAATATTACATAACTGGTGATGTGATGTTCATTTCAACACCAGTTACCTCTCGAGTTACGTAATAAAAATATGGATAGACGAAGAGAATAGTGCATTTTGTGGTGTATTACTTAGTATCACTTGGGAAACTTGAACTTGAATCAGTCATTTTCCATACCAATGACAGTATCCAAGACAGTATCATAATAATACAAGGTGTTTCGCGAGGTGTCAGGTGATAGCCCTCCTGATTTCATAATTACTGAGATACAGGTTGTGGAAGTTGAGAAATAAAAATAGTTTATTCCTCAATTTATTCATTATATTCGTAATAACTCTGGAATAATTGAATATATTGCATTCAAATTCGGTATATGGTTTCATCTTTGAATGGGTTATTGTTTGACCAGAATGTCATTCCTGACATTATATCCAGTGGTGCGCAACAGGGGGTTGTGGTAATTTTTCCTCTCATATTTTCTACGCTACTGATGAAATTTCGTTTAATTTCAATTTCTCAAATTCATTGGTCAATTTTGTTTGAAAAATGCATCACCTTCAATCGTGCTAAAAATCAACAGCTTTCAAGATATTCGACCCAAATAGTAATTTTCATACATTTTCAGTAGTAGAAAATTTGAGAAAAAATTACACTGTTTCGAGTAATGTAACAGTTTCCACCTTGGAATGTAATATACTATTTCATGTTACATGCACTACTCTTGACAGGTATACACGAGGGTATACACGAGGGGTAAACCGCGGTCAAAATTGTGTACACCAAACTTTAATTTCACAAGGAATTCCAAGGAAATCCAAAGAATTCCAAGGAAATCCAAGGAATTCTAGTTGTTTGTAGCCCAGGAATATACCGCATTCCACCCAAGGAATTCCAGAGAATTCAAAGATATTCCAAGAAAATCCAAGGAATTCCAAGGAAATCCAAGGAATTCCAAGGAAATTACACCAGGATTCCACCGCGGTTTACCCCTCGTGTATAAACGGGTATACATAACAGAGAAGGTTTTGTTTTCAAATTCTTATCGTGTGTGTTCAATAGATGTAATTCAATGTTCGTCGTTGCATATAGCCAGGCGAGGCCAGAAAAGTAGTTGTTTTCTATTGAATAAACCGAGAAAGAATTAATATTTTCATCACATGGAGAATGCGAATTCTCAATGCATTTCTTTATATATATACATCCATTTTTTTGTGTTCATAAACATATCTGAGAATATTCCTTTTCCAATAACAGAGATAATTGAGAATGAAAAAAAAAGTTTTGCAACGGGATAGGGCGTGAGATGAGATGTTCGAGGCACTCTAACATGAACAATGTCTAATCTTCTTCCTTGTTGTGTTTTCCAGTGGCGTGGCAGCCCTGAGCTGCACCGACTGCAGCGCCAGCAGCACCTCGTCGAGCGACATCACCGAGCCCGGCTCCCCCTTCAGCACCGCCTCCACGCATTCCGAGGACTCGGGCTCGGCTAAGATGCCGCCCACGCCGCCCCAAGTCGCCCATCACCCGCCCTGGCCGTGGACCGCAGAAGGGCCGCCGCCCGCCAAGAAGGCGGCCTTCCTGCCCGAACAGACGATACGCCTGCCCACACAGAAGGAGAATACTAGGTATACAGTCTGTCCAAGATAAGGTTGAACAGCATGGGGATCTCGGAAACGGTAGGAGATACGAAGTCGCTTGAATGGAGAAAAAGTTGCGCATTCGGAGGCTCATATCAAGAGCCTTCGAAAATTTTGAAAATTATTTTTAGTTTTTGAGTTTTATCAGAAAAAGTGAATTTTTGGAATTTCTATTCTATTTTTTTTCTCCGTTATTATCAGAGATACAGAAAAACTGAAAATACTTTTTTATTGCAACTTTTGATGAGGTTTAACGTGGTGATACCGATTTTTTTATGCGACGTTTCGTATTCGTGGAACCATCATCAATTTTTGTTTTTTAAATACGGTCCTGATAATTTATTCACAGATTCTGAAAGGTTTTTTTATTCTGAATTCAACAATGTACTATACAAGGTGATTCGAATGTGTTTTGACCTATTTCTATTTTCTATCCATCATCAATGTTTTTTCGAACTTCCAAAAGAAAAAATGCCATCAGTTCCACTTATTTCTTATCATTTAGTGTCAAACTTGATGGATTAGTTATTCAATACTGAAAAGTGAATAAAAAATATGTCACTACATCATTCGATCAATGCAGCGTTTAAAATTGTTGATGAATTCTTACACGAATTACTTTAACAACTCAACTTTGACAATATCTACAGAGACATTCATAACAAATGTTCAAAATGATAACCATTATTTTCTGAACAAAGATATCCTCTTCTCACAGTTGCTTCTAAGACATTGCTAAGCATTTCTGGGGTTATTCTATTGAATGCTTCGAAGACACTGTCCCTTAGTTCTTCTTCATCCTCAAAGTTATTTGCGTGTACAGAGTTCGATATATCCCCTAAGAAAAAATCCAGCTGTGTCAAATCAGGCGACCGCGCCGGCCAAGGGATAAAAACGCATGGACTTCTCTGGAATTATGTACCGGAGCGCCATCTTGTTGAAACCAACAGTTCTGAACTTCCGCAATCGGTAAATCATCCAGAGCTTCCTTAAGATGATTCTCAAGCGAATTTCTATAACGTTCGGAAGTCTGTGTTTCATGGTAAATAGAAGGAACAATAATTCGTGTACCAAATATTGCAACCCACATATTAAAGCCGAAACGGTGTTGGTGTCTCGCTGTAATGTATAAATGTTCATTTTCTCGTGAACAATAATGTGTATTTTTTCTATCGAAGCTACCATGATTAGTGACCATGCTTTCATGAGTCCAGATGATTGTTCGAAAGAAATCTGCAAAATTTTAACATTTCCTGGTATACCACTCACAGAATGTCTTGCGCCTTTCGTCATCGCCTGGTTTTAGCGCTTGACATATTCTGAATTTGTATAGATGGAATTTTTGTTTCCGCAAAATGAATTGGGTTGTTGAGTGAAACCAGTTGATGAGGTATTAGTGTGTTGACTAATTTTCCTTCAAAATAAGTGGAACTGATGGCATTTTTCCTTTGGAGTTTCGAAAAAACATTGATGATGGCCAAAAATAGGTCGAAACACAAATGAACTCGTGAACCACCTTGTATAATACATGGTTGAATTCAGAATAAAAAACCTTTTAGAATCTGTGAAAAAATTATCAGGACCGTATTTAAAAAACAAAAGTTGATGATTGTTCCACGAATACGAAACGTCGCATGAAAAAATCGGTATCACCACGTTGACCGTCATCAAAAGTTGCTATGAAAAAGTATTCTCAGTTTTGCTGTATCTCTAATAATAACGGAGAAAAAAAATAAAATAGAGATTCCAAAAATTCACTTTTTTCGATATAACTCAAAAACTAAAAATAATTTTCAAAATTTTCGAAGGCTCTTGATATGAGCCTTCGAATGTGCAACTTTTTCCCCATTTAACCGATTTCGTATCTCTTACCGTTTTTGACATCCCCATGCTGTTCAACCTTATCTTGGACAGACTGTATATAGGAGGTGGCCCGAAATTAACTGGTCAACATTGATAACGTCGTGTTACTGTATTTATCTTCATTAGTATGAAAAACATTTTATCGAACCTATGGCAATTCTGCAGTCTCTTTCATATTTCCTCGTATAAGCCTCATGAAAATTTATACACTTCACAATAATTATTTCCGACAATGACCGACACTATACAGCGAGCTATACAGTGTGTCCCACTTACCATGCTCACCATGGGTATCTTTTTAACGGTGAGAGATAGGAGGTCGGTTAAATGACACCAAATGTGGAGTTTGTCAAGGCCAACCAGAATGTGGAAAAATATTTTGATAAAATCTATTCGTTTTTGTTTTTTGTGCAAAAAACAGATTATGATCATTTTCATGTCTCCTCCGTAACTTCTTTATTTATGAAGATATTCGAATAGGAATTTCACATTCTAATGGCAGTTTTTTAAAGTGATTTCGAAAAAAATATGAAATTTTCACCAACTCTTGTAGAATTTGAGATATCAGCATCAACTTTAGTTTTTCAAATGTAGGTCAAAGCTCACTATGACTTAGTTAAAAATAACTTTATGTTCTCTTACAGATGATATAGCGCAGTAATAGTTTTGTCTCGAGTTTTGTGTTGATAACAACGGAGTTATCATCATTTATACAAAAACAAAAAATTATTTGGAAGTTGCCATCTTGAATTCATAAATTTTAACAAGAAAATCATGATCTCCGACCTCAAAAACCCTCACTTACCAATTTTGAATGGAATCGGACCAAATCTTGTCCGCCATCTTGGAGCAACCATTTTTTTTAATTTCAACAAAAATTCCATAACTCCGATTAACTTGAAATTTGGCAGGTGTTTCTGATTTCGGTGACAATACATTATGGAATTTTTGTTGAAATTAAAAAAGATGGCTGCTCCAAGATGGCGGACAAGATTTGGTCCGATTCCATTCAAAATTGGTATGTGGGGGTTTTTGAAGTCGGAGATTATGATTTTCTTGTTGAAATTCATAAATTCAAGATGGCAACTTCAAGGGAAAAAGAAGTTATTTGTAACTAAGTCATAGTGAGCTATGACCTACATTTGAAAAACTAAAGTTGGTGCTGATATCTCAAATTCTAGAAGAGTTGGTATAAATTTCATATTTTTTTCGAAATCACTTTAAAAAACTGCCATGAGAATCAGAAAATCCTATTTGAATATTTTCATGAATAAAGAAGTTACGGAGGAGACATGAAAATGATCAAAATCTGTTTTTTGCGTATAAAACAAAAACGAATAGATTTTATCAGAATATTTTTTCACATTATAGTTGGCCTTGACAAACTCCACATTTGGTGTCATTTAACCGACCTCGTATCTCTCACCGTTAAAAAGATACCCATGGTGAGCATGGTAAGTGACTGTATAGGAGGTGGCTCGAAATTAACTGGTCAACATTGATAACGTCGTGTTACTGTATTCATCTTCATTAGTACGATTTAGTATGAAAAACATTTTATCGAACCTATGGCAATTCTGCAGTCTCTTTCATATTTCCTCGTATAAGCCTCATGAAAATTTATACATTCCACAATTATTTTCGACAATGACCGACACTATATTTCTTTTCCGGAATATAGCGATTTTCATCACGTTTAAACATATTCTTCTTCACCCTGGACTAATCTGGACATATTTTTTATCGCACCTTGTATATCCATCGTCAAGAATAAATATAAATTTCATACTTCTGAAACTACAATCGTAAGTCTTTAAATTTTATAATTTATATTAACGATATTGATTAAAAATGCATACCTTCATTATATGACCTTCGATCCGATAAATCACAAAACCATTTGGTGACGAAATAACACTCCATTATTCACTATATATCACTAGTAACACAGAGAAAATTATGTTTCATCTACTGAAGACTGCGTTATTCTCCATTCCATCATTCAGTATATTATCTTGTATAACTTTTTATAGACTTCTTCAGAATTTTCTGTGTCCGAACACGATCACATATCCGACGACTATACGTACAACGTTGATTCTTCGAAAAAGAATTTCAACTTTTGATTTCATTCAATTAATCGTCGAAAAAATGCATAATTTTGAATGAATGTTCATAACACAATCATTATCAAAGCTCTGAATTAGAAAATTCCGAAAATGTTTCTAGAGAAAGCATCAATCAAGAGGATACAGGTGAGAAAAAAAAATGAAAAAAATTATCTGTTCAAACGGTAAGGTGACGACCACGATGCAATTTTACACCCATTCAATTATCACCCTGTAGCAATGTTATCTGAAATTACAAAAGTTTCATATTGCCACAACAAACTGTCAAGAGATTAGGCCAATCATCGGTGAAAACCGATTTCAAATTGGTAATGAAATTTGTGAGTTGTTTAACTTTGAATTCAGGCTATATTTTGGACCACGACATTATCAATGTTGACCAGTTCATTTCAGAATAGTCACTTGTATTTTAGTAAGCGACAATTGCATTTCAGAATAATTAATTCAATTTTAGAAAGCATCAATTGTATTTCAAAATAGTCAATTAAATTTCAGAAAGAGTCAATTGCATTTCGGAATAGTCAATTGAATTTCAGAAAGCGTCATTTGTATTTCAGGAAATATCATTTGGAATGTAATCGTCTCTTTTTGAAATTCACTAGAAAACTAGACGAGACCATGCGACAGTCTCGATCGTGCGAATCAATATCAATGATGAGGAAATTCTGTTATACTGGAATATTGTTCAGTCAAATTCATTATAGAACCCATCATGTTGATTATATCAAATCTTTTCTTACTGCAGTTCCCCCCCGCACTACGTCAGAATCGTCCCTAGCACGAACAACAATCGGGCGAAGAAGATCGAAGCCAACAAGCTGCAACAAGGCAAGATCACGGAGTACTTCAAGTCGCAGGTGCGACTGAACGGCATCAGAAAGGACCTCTTCCAGTACAACAAGAAACCTGCCTCTTCCAAAGCCACCGTCGACCAGCAAACGCAGTACAGCGTGAAAAGTCGCAAGGAAATGAGGAAACCCCCAAGCGTTCGCAAAGGAGTGCAATCGAAACTGAAGAAGTCTCCGGTACCTAGAAAGATTCTGCCGGCTCCCAGCAACATGCCCGAGAAGATATCCATCAACGATCAGTTGAACAACATTGCCAAGTACTCGCCTACGGTCACCCTTACTGCTCTGAGCTTTCCCTCCAACTACACTTATCTACACGCGAAAACACCGAAACCTCCCGACGCTAGTCCTATCTTCGTGCCGCAGTTCACTGCCATCCCCAACGACAAAATGCCCCTGCTCACCGCTATAAACAACTTCAATTGTGTCAAATTAAATGCGACGGTAGTGCCTATCGTCAAAGTCAACGCGTTGCCTTCGAGATTGAACGGGTCTGCCAACTTGACGAATCTGAACGCTCCAAACATCATACCAAATGTAGCCTTAAGCGTGGAGACCGCGGTGCCTACCGTGCTCACAGCCAAACCGAGGCTGAACAAAAGCAATATCCTGCCTGAAAGTTTCCCCCTCACCACTTTTTCGACGCCGAAGGTGAAAAGTTCGAGTAGTCCTGCAGTTTGCCGGGTTGAGGAGAGTTCAAGGACAGAGGAACCGCATAGGAAGGAGGATGTGTCGCGGAAAGATGACTCCTCTCCTACGCCGACCGATTCCGATAGCGGGATATCGAATAAAGAGTGCTTGGAAGTTAGTATTAGTGATATTGTGGTACTCGATGAACAGAAGTCTCCGATCCTTTCGAAGCCGAAGACGATCAGGTTTCCGGCCAAGCAGGTCGATAAGGATGAGGGAAAATCGCCGCAGCAGTCTGCGGACGGTTTGTGTAGATGGGCCGATTGCGATTGTCGATTTGATACCAGTGGGGCCTTATTAGAACATCTACAGGTAAGTTACTCACAGTTGTTCACAGTGTTCTCGAGATATTTGAGTTCTAGTGGTACAATTTTTAATTATGGCTAAAAAAATAATGAAATTTGTACCAAATGAATTATCAAGAATGTATTGGTGCGTTCCAAGAGTTATAAAAAAGAAATGGAGGCTCATTGACTCCCAAAAAGTGGTAGAGTCGATTTGCAAACTAATCCTGATGCACTTTTTTAAATTATCATCTTGTAATTGCCTGGACATTAAATTGTAATTCTTCTTTTCAATCAATAATCATTCAGATTTGTAGTGTTTTCAGATCATCACCCGGATGATGATCAATGACATTTGAACTCGAATATCTCCAGACGGCTCATTGAAATTGGAAAATGTCTGCACTGATAGTGTCAGAATTATACTACTTTCACAATGATGTATTAAACTTATAGAGGGGTAAAGGGGAGAGGAGAATAGGGGGTTGAAAGTTGCAACATGTAAAACACAGGGGAGAGGTTGTGTGTACTTTGTAATATACAGAATATTAACAGAATTAAGGTTATACTATACAGACTTTAGCAGTTTCTCAAACGTGTTCAGCTACAAGCCATCATCGGGAGTAATTTTTGTCAACAATTTCACAGGAGGTCAAATCACAAAAAGGACATTTTATGTACTAAATATTGGGAAATTTCAGTTTTCAAGAAAACCTGAGTACATTTTGAAATCAAATTGAATAAAGGGCAGGCATGTGTTTCTTACATTTTAGGCACCTAATTACCTCCTGAAACAAATGTATTAATATTTCATGTCCACTACCTTCTATTGATGATTTGATTTAGCACTTACATTTGTTTCTTAATTCCTTCTAATTTTGTTGCAAGTTCTTTAGAATCGATGGGGAATTTGTTATCACTGATATTATTACAAGTCAATCCAACAAATAACATGATCATAATGAAAATATGCAAATATGCCATATGACACATGAGATATAACCTCAATGTTAGTTTTTCTTCTTCCTTTTGGCTTGGATGGACAAGTTATTTCATGAAATGTCATCTGAAAACATCCATAGGCACGAAAATTTATCAGGTTGAAACCAGCCACGACTTCGCCAATTATTCAAGCCGCGCGCCATACCACCAATGGTCGTTTATTACTAATTTGATCTCAGTGCTGGCCATGAAATTACTAAAACCTCCAAAAATGTGAAATCCTCTACATTCTCAGGCTGCCACTGAAAGAACTTATCTAGAACAATTACAGCAACACTAAATCTACGCCTGATAATGTTCTCCGGGCATTTGGCAATAATATATAATGTTTGGAGGGCACTATTCGAAAGAGAACAACATCTGATTGAAGATTTTCTTTTGAAGTTTCCAATACCTTTATAACTTTCGAGAAATTGAGTGTTGAAAGCGTGAAAGGTATTATCGTTATAAAAATATAAATATTTGATAATTCCTGTGAAAAGAAGTCGCCTATTTGGGTCATGTAGTTACACCAGATGGAGTTAAGCCAAACCCGAATAAAATACAATCAAGAATTTTCCTGTACCTAAAACACCAAAGCAAATAAAAGGTTTCCTAGGTCTCTTAGGTTATTACCGTCGGTTCATAAATAACTTTTCAAACATCACGAAACCCCTCACCAAATGCTCAAAAAAGGGCGTGAAGATAGAACATAATGACGAGTTTCTTTCATGTTTTGACACTTGTAAAATTCTCCTCATAAACGAGCCTATTTTGCAGTACCCCGATTTCACGAAACCGTTCAATTTAAGACGCAAGCAATTTTACAATCGGAGCTATCCTATCGCAGCGACTTGACTGTCGCTTACTCATCGAGAACCCTAAACGATTCAGAACAAAACTATTCTGTTATCGAAAAAGAACTCCTTGCCATTGTATGGGCTACGAAATATTTTTGTCCTTACTCGGTAGAAAATTCAACATCATCAGTGATCACAAACCACTCCAATGGCCTTTCTCACTCAAAGACCCGAATTCCAAGCTCCTTTGCTGGAGAATTAAGTTAGAAGAGTTCGACTACACCATCATCTATAAAAAAGGGAAATTAAACGCAAATGCCCATGCATTGTCTGGTATTGAAAGAGACTAACGATATTTGCAACCAAATTGACGATATTTTTCAAGACGTGAAAACCGGAGGTCGTGAAATAATAATCCCTGAAATCAATAATGTCTTAAAACAACCTCCATTAGTAAGTCGATTGTTTATTTGTTTCCAGGTTAAACATGTGATATCTCAAACAACACAAGAACACTATGTGTGCTTGTGGTTAGGCTGTAAGGTGCATGGAAGAACTTCGTGCTCAAGGTCATGGTTGGAAAGACATGTCCTGGCCCATGCTGGGACAAAGCCATTTCGTTGTATAGTGGAAGGATGTGGCCAAAGATTCAATTCACAAGTAAGTTGGTATTTTTGTACAAAAATACAGAGCTCGCTAGAATATTCTTGGTGCTTTTGTTTATTAAAAAAAGACCTCATGGAATATTTCAAAATAATTGTATTCTACTTTTAGATTTATTTAAAAAATATTGATTTCTTTAAAAAGTTTCATTGGTACACTGTGCTCCAAAATGAAGGCATAATTATAAATGATTTATGAACAGAATAATAATATGATAAAAATCCTTTGAAATCCACTGTGTCCTTAGGGACCTAATTTAATCCTTGCAACACTTAGAGTCCTGCCGTTGAATAAAACGTTGAGGAACACATGCTATTATAGTTAATTCTTGAGTTTCTTGAGCAACCAACCTGGCCAAAATTTTTCTTATACTTGATAATAAAATATCATGTAAATGTTGGAGACTTGGCAACATTGTTCTGAATGCTGAGAAGTGACAAGACCATGCCCACAATTCTCGCGCCGTGTTGTGACGTTCACCGTTTCCAATTTCCTCTAGATATAATTATTATTCACACAAATTCATTACAATCAATAAGGCACAAATCATAAGGGAAAATTTTGAGACAATTGATTTTTTATTGCTAATTATGAATATTACCAATATAATTGAGAATCTATGAATAATTATTGAATAACTAATATTTCTGAAGTTCCCAATCGTATTTCAACACATGGCAACTGTGCTATGGTCTGCCCCTACTTATGAAATCATGACGTCAGTTTTTACTGGCGGTAAATATCTAGCCATCTGAAAATTACCCCGCCATTATTGATGATTTAAGCACCCGATAACAACCGAAAACATCTTACAAAATATTGCATTCAAAATTATTTGAGTGATGATTCTATTAAAGAAATAATGTAATCTTTCAGCGGGATTGCGAAAAGTCTTGAGCGACACACGGCCGATACGCAAAATCGGTTATTATAATACTATATTCAACCTCATTCGTTATTTCCTACATATCGGCTGTGTAATGTTGATAACTATAAGGGTTCCAAAATTCGTTTGCCTATAGTTTAGACAACGGCAAAGCACGATGCTCTTTCGAACGTAATAGGGATTCCATGTCATGCGCTTCAAAGAAAAAATCTTAATTCACATGTATGTTCAATAGTCTTAACTCTCTACCACTGACAGTGAATCTGACAGACTCCGTGGAATCTTTCATGTATGTTTATTTCCACATCCATTTTTTCATGCCGATTAAGACTCCAGTATCTTCTTCACAAGTTTCAAGTGTTGTCAAAAATTCAGGTGTGATGAATTTTTTTCTGTTAAGTTATTCGTATACTCCGTACCCGTTTTAGTGTCATGAAACTGAATTGTAGTGGCAGATTCGTCAGGAAAAACATGAGATTTTGCTCGTTTTAATACCATTGTTATCCCCAATGAAATTTCGATTTTTTAGAGTTGGAGTTCTGAGAACTTTGCGTCCGTATTAGCGTGAGATTAATGCTTGGAATAAAAGCTTGAAATATCATTCATTTCTAATCCATTTAAACACTGTGTTAGAAGCCCAATAAAATGGCTTTCGGAAATTTTGATATGATTCTCCGTTTTTGAGTTAGCCTGAAGAAATTGAAATTTTTGATTCTTGAAATTGTCTTTCTTGGAAATAACACGAAAACGAAAAGCCGTGTCAGAGATTTTTAAATGTCATTTCATCGGTGATTCAATAGGCAACTTTTTATCATTTAATCTAATCTGTATCTCATGTAGTTTCCTAGATGCCAATACTGGCACTCCTTGCCTTGGACAAAGTGTATATAGATTCACCGACAAAAAAACGGCCACCCTGAAATACTCAACAAAGTTAAGCAGTTATTATTAAGCCAGTTTTTCTGCCGCTGATTGTATTTACACTTATATCATATTTCTTTATTTTCCTGTTATAATCATGTACATTCTTGGGAATAATAATGGCTATTATTATTTTTATTATTATTATAATTATTATCATTATCTTTAATATTATCAATATTAATAATTCTATTATTTTTATAAGCATAATCTTCATTATTGAATAATTTCTATACTGAAAACCTGAGAGCAAACACATTTTCATCAGTCTATTCCATATGGTGTAATCTGTCTTTCTGTATTATTGAATTATTGCTGTTGTACTCACAATTATTTTCATATTACTCTCATTTAGGACAAGGTGTGTTCATAATTACTTTCTGCTCCAGGTGCAAAATGTGCCTATGTTGGATGGTTGTATTTTTCATTAACATTATGCAATGAAATCTGAATTCCTGGAGCAAACATTATCGTGCATACGATTTTGACAGTTCCACAATAAGATCCAAGTCTATAAAAAAGTCCGAGCAGTAATCATTTCATAAGTTATTAAATTGTGTGCTGGTTACCTATATACAGTGTGTCCACCTTAAGAACTTACCACCCCTGTAAAATCGTTATTATCCGACCAATTTCAAAAAACCTTTTTTTGTTGGATAGGTATTTGAAATGCCCATCCAACGAGAGAGTGATCTAATTCTTGGACTGTTATCGTGGCCAACTGCGACAAATTTCAATGACCCATATTCCAGAAAGTACTATTAGGGATTTTTTTCCACGAAACTTGATGATGGATTCTGAATCAGAACCACTTGAAATATACTTGTACCGATTTTCATCATCATAAAACACAGGGTGTCCGAAAAAACGAATCATCATTTTCTTCAAATAGGTGATCACTCGGGTGATCAGCAAATGTAGTTCTGTGGTTTTTCTAGAAAGAAGTAATCACAAATTATCATTGAGGATTATTTCAAATATACCTGTACCAATTTTCGTCATTTGAATATACAATGTGTCTGAGAAGAAAATTAAAAAGGATAGGTAAGCAATATTTTTCATCCTGATAATTCTTCACTCAAAATAAAAAGATGAATTAGGATCATTTGGAACATACCTGTACCGATTTTCATCATCAGTAAACACAGGGTGTTCGAAAAATCAAATTAATATTTTTTTTGAGTTGATGAAAAAATATTGCCTACTTTTTGTTTTTGATTGTTTTCTCACACACATCGTATTTTTGAATGATGAAAATCGGTACAGATATGTTCAAAGTGATCCTCAATAATAATGTGTCATCAATTCTTCTCAAAAATACCACAATACTTCATTTTCTGATCACCTATTAAAAAAAAACATAATTCGTTCTTTCGGACACCCTATCTATCAGGATTACTTATTGAAGGAATTCCAATGTTCATTGGATTTTAATTACATACACATAATAAATTTCAACTGAGCTTCCGATTTCGACGCTGCATTCCCGATGTTTTTGCCGTCGTTTCATAGTACGTTTTGGCAACTTGTCCGTGGCGGTTTTCGGCAAACATCGATTTGTTTCGGCGTTTTGACCGAAAATTCGGCAACTTTTCCATTCGGCGATGGGATTGATGTCCCACTGACAAATGGTGGGATACCTGAAATTTCAAGACTGATATATTCATGGAGAGAGTTTATAACTATTTATAATTATCTCTAGGTTTTCATGTTGTGACTAATTTTCCAATATTATTTAGCTGGTCAATTAATTTTGTAGCATCAACACCTAGATTGGAACGGGTGAGACGCTTATTGAAGTATTATCCTATATAAACTCTGGATTCTGAAAAGTATAAAACACAATGAAATCTATAAGTTAATTGGATCGATTTCGAGAGTATATCTGCATAACAGCTAATAATGTATTGAAATTAATTCGACTACACAATCCTATCAATCCGATTCCGAAACTAAAATTCTAAAAAATAATTGTTCATATCCATCATTCGATTACGACCAAAGAATGACGGGGGTCTTACCTTTTAACGTGTGATCCCTGGTAGGAATCGAACCCACCTACTGGCAATCCAACGTTTATAGAATACTGACGCTTCAACCACGAGGCTACGCTTGCCTCCAAACTAGATCTATAACGAGTTTCATCTACCATTGAAGAAAAATCAAGTCTGTGATTAACTATAATCGTAATTCAGAAATAAGTAACACGGAAAATACCAATATTTACAATTATTATGTCATGATCTATTGTCAAAAATCTTTGAAGAATACAGTTTCACACTTATATTATATCTACTATAAATAGATAATGGAGTGGGTTGATTTGGAAATCAATTGAAAGGTATTTTTCTTATGGCGAGAAAATGTCGAGGAAGCCATTAGAAAAGTATGGCACAGTTTGCTGCTTGAGTCAGTAAGGAAATAATATTGAGAATATGAAAGCGTTGTAGAAGTTCATCCAATATAACACTCAGATTCTTGGCTTGGCTATTTTTTCATCAGTAAGTGTCCATAAACTTTCACTTCCAAATGATTGTATCTTCAGTACATTATTTTTCTTTGATGAAGACATTCAGTCTTATTTTATTATTATAAATTATGCGTTCATTTTGAAGCGCAGTGTTTTCATTCATTTCATATTTGAATTACTGAAATTTTAGCAACCATAGAATTCTGTACTGAATAATACAAGTAGGCTCATTGTTTTGATGTATTTGCAGAACTCTCATAGCTCATAGCGTTTGTCACTAGCCGATTTACAGTCAAGAGCAAACTGCATGCCACTGGCTTGCAAACTCGCTTGATGCTCGCTCAGAGTTCGAATTTTCCGAAACGTACTCGGAACGGTGCGATTCTCATAAACTCGAATCATCGGGTGGATGAGGAATATATCTTATCTATTTTATAGAAGTTGAGTCATGGAAAACATCCATTCTTGAAGTGGTCCTCTATTTTTCGAAAATTAATTGAAGTTGATTCTTGAATTCATTCTTTGTATACAAGTGATGTTGGAGAAACAAGTGATTTTTCCGGTAATAAACAGCATTTTCCAAACCTTAAAACCTACCGGAAAATCCTTGCAGGAAATAAAACTTGCATTGGAGATGTTTCATATAGATTTGGTGTAAAAACACACATTTTGCGTAGAAATTATATCACAGAAGTTGACTTTGCGGCTACTAAAATGATC